CCCCCCCCGACGACGACGATCTGGTTGCCCCGATTGCCTGGGGGGGAGGAGAGGTCGTTTGTCCCCCCGGCCCACGGGCGTTGCCCTGTGGCGCGAGTTGAAGGGCCGAGGAGCCGAGAGGGGGTGGCCGGGCCCGGGCGCAAGGGGCCCCCAAGCGCACCAAATGGCCAATGTGGCACACGGACCGCGAGAGCCCGACGCCAGATTGCTCCCCGCACAGAACGCCCCCGGCCCCGGGCTCGGGGCGCACCGTCCGCCCACGGCCGGGCCTGATGGCGAGTGGGGCCTGCCGGCAGCGCACCAGCCTCCGGCACCGCGGCGTCCCCAGGGGCCGGGCGCGCCCTCCTCGCCTCGATCGCAGGTGCCACGCCCCACACAAAAGCTCCCCCGGACGATGACCCCCGGCGCCGACGCCCCCGCGATAACCGTCTCCTACATCTCCCCCTTTTGCCCCCCTCTCAGCCTCCCCTCCCCCGCCGCCTGCCCCCGTTTCCCTTCCTCCCTCCCCCCCCCTCGCTCTTTGTCTCTCTCCCTCTCCCGCTGCACGCCTGTACGCTCGCTCGTCTGCCGCCCCCCCCCTCCAGCCCAGCCCAGCCCAGCCCAGCCCAGCCCAGCCCAGCCCAGCCCTGGGTCCCGCCCCGCGCCACCTTCTCGCCCGGATCTCTGGTGTCCATACTGACGCGCTCCCCGCGCTGCCCCAGGCGCACGAGCGCGCGCGCGCGCTGAGGAGCATCCACCCCCCCCCCCTCCCCTCCTGTGCCCCCGCCATCGCCCCCTCGCCCTTTCCCCCTTCCCTCTTCGGCACCAGCCCGCGCATGACCCCCCCGGCCGCGCCGCACTTCCCGGACGCGCGCCCTTGAGGACCCACTCCTGCTCCCACCCCCACAAGGGATCCCGGCGCCGCACGCGCGCGTGCGAGAGGAGCCCGTGGCATGCCATTCACCGCGCAGCACCTCTCCCCGCCGCCCTTTCCTCCGCCGGCCGGCGGGGCTCCAGACGACCCATCCATCTCGTCTCCTGTCCACCCGCCCCCCTTCGGCCGTTCCCTCTCCTCCTTCTCCTCCTCTTCGGATGATTTCTACTTCCAGCCACTGACTGGCTCGGTGGATGGTGCGCGCACGCACGCACGCACGCACGCACGCACGCACGCACGCACGCACGCACGCACGCACGCACGCACGCACGCACGCACGCACGCACACACACAGCTGCACATGCATCTTCCGCCCCCTTCTCTCCTGCCTGACCTCCCCCCCCCTCTTGCCGGCCGGTGTCACAGCCCACATGGGCATCGACTCGCCACCGGCCATGCGCGGCGGGGCCACCCCTCATCCGCCCGCCACCACGGGCAGCGATTCCCCCCGGCTGGATGCCTTCCCGGTGTCATCGCTGGCCAATCGCCGCGCGCGCATGGTCCCGCCCCTGCGCCTACAGTCAACCAACTCCACGGCTCCCGGGGCCGATGGGCCTCCCGCCGGCGGCCCGGTCCCTCCGCCCCTGGCCACCGATGGGGGTCTGGTGCAACTGGTGAACGTCCAGCCCGGCAGCGGGATCTCCCTGCTGGCCGTCGAGGGCCCGGGGGTCCCTCGTGCCGCGCCACACTCGGCCCCTTCGCTGTCGATGCTCGGCGGCGGGGCACCCCCTCAGTTCTTCCCGACCGACGCCACATCGCCCCTGGGGCTGGGCCCGACCGGGGTCGCCCCGGGTCCCGGGTCCCCACTGACCACCTACCCCGGGCCCGGGCTCGGTCCGGCTTCTTCGATGGGCGGCAGTGGCGCCGGCTTCCTGGCCACCGGGCCCCGCGCCTTTGGCAGCCAGTCCGGCAGCGCCCTGCAGCTGCCCACCACCAGCCCAGCGCCCCACGCCCGCGTGCAATCGCCCCTCCACAGCCACCACCACCAGCAGCAGCAGCAGCACCACTACCATCAGCAGCAGCAGCAGCAGCAGCAGCAGCAGCAACAGCAGCAACAGCAGCAGCTTCAGCTCCAGCAGTTTCAGCAGCAGCAACAGCAGCAGCAACAGCAGCAGCTCCAGCTTCAGCAACAGTATCAGCTCCAGCTCCAGCTCCAGCAGCAGCAGCAGCAGCTCTCCCATCACCAGCAGCTTCATCTGAGCAATCCGTCGGTATACCCAGGCCGGCCGTTGTCAGCGGCTGGCTCCGGCGAGGGGCAGCCCCTGCTGAGCCCGGCCCCTGGCGCCGGGCCGGTTCTGGCATCCTCCCCCGCGCCCTTGTGCTTGCCATCGCACACCTCCCCGGCATCCGGCCACAGCGGCGGCGGCGGCGGCGGCCCGGTCAGCCCCTTCCCCAGTGCCACGATCCCCCCCCCGCGGCCGCTGTCCACCGAGTCGGGCCTGCCGCAGCTGCTGCAGGGGAGTCGCCTGCATGTGCGCTCCATCCCGACCCGACACTCGACCGGCTATACGACCTACCTCCAGGCGCAGGGGTCGCTGCCGGGGCACCACCCCCCCCACCAGCACCAGCAGCACCCGGCGCATCATCACCACCAGCAGCATCCGCACCTGCACAATCCGCATCTCTCCTCCCTGTCATTGAACCGCATCCTCTCGCCGGACTCGGACTCGGACTCCGCGCACCTGTACCAATCGCACCCGATCTTGCGCTCTTCGCCGGCGGGGTGCGTGTCTGCGCTACCCTCCTTTGATCGATCCACTTTGCTCGTGTTTCTCGCCCTCTTCCCCCCCCCGTCCATCTCCTCCGTCAGCCGCTTGCCCTCTCCGACTCACATGCCCACGCCCCCGCCGGGATTGCGCCCAGTTGGATGACCCCCCCGGTCACCGGGTCTTCGCTCAGCTCCTCGTCCGTGTCTCTGTCGGCCCTGGATTCCAGCCGGAATTCGCTGTCCTCATCGTCCCTCGGCACGGTGAGTTCCTCTTCCGGGAGCTCCTCCCGGCAGAGCTACACCACCGGCTCGACGACCCACCACCACCCGGCCCTCGAGCCAAGCATGGCCTACCCCTCTCCGGCCGGGCGCTCCCTCAGTCCCTTCCAGCACCTGTCGCCAGTCCCCGGCGCCGGGGCTACTTACCCTGGCCCAGCCAGCCTGGCCACCAGTGGCTCGGCCGAATTTGGGTTTGCCCTGCAGCAGCAGCAGCAGCAGCAGCAGCAGCAGCAGCAGCAGCAGCAGCAACAAATCTTCCTGCAGCAGCTCCAGGCCCAAGCTCAGGCCCAGGCCCACATGCAGCAGCTCCAAGCGGCCCAGGCGGCCCACCCCACCCAGCATCCTGCCCCGGCACTGGAGCCCGGATGCGACAAGTTCCCGATTGTCGAGCGCCTGCGCCAAATCGAGCACGTCCATGCCCAGGGGTTTGCCGCGGCACTGGCACTCCTTCGGCCGACCTCCCTGGCCCAGACCCCGGTCCCACTGGCTCGGGCCGAGCATGTCAACCAGGACATCGGCGACTATGTCTTTTTCCGCGTCCTCAGCCAGACCGCCTCATCGCTGGTGTGGCTGGCCTGCTACCGGCCGACCGGTGTCATGGTATGTCTTTTTGCGGCCCGGCGCCCGGGGATTTCGGCTCCCCGCTCCTTTGCGCCCTGTCGTCGCACGTGCCGCTCCTCGCCCCCATCCTCACTCTCCCCCCCTGCCCCCCCCCCCCCGTCACACGCCCGCCCACCCGGCACAGCTCGCTGTCAAAGTCCTGGCCATGCACGACCTGGCCCAGGCCGACGACCAGCTGCGCCTGCTCCGCGAGTTGACCTGCTACCGTCACCTGGCCCACACGAACATCATCCAGCTGCATGACATCCTGCAAACGCCGGACGCCGTGCTGGTGGCCCTGCAGTACCTCGGGGGCGGGGATCTCTATGACTTCGTCGACCGGCACAAGGGCCTGGCGGAGGATGTGGCCCGGCCCCTTTTCCGGTCCCTGGTGGCCGCTGTGCGGCACATCCACACCCTGGGGGTGGTCCATTGCGACCTGAAGCCCGAAAATGTGGTCCTGTCATCCGACCACACGCACTTGGCTCTGGTGGACTTCGGCTATTCCACCTACTGGATCGATGGGCCACGCACGGCCCAGGTCCAGGCCCCGGTGTCGCGGCCGCTGAAGCTCAATTGCGGCTCGCCGGAGTATGCGGCGCCGGAATTGGTGTCCGGGGTGGCGTATCACGGCCGGCCGGCCGACGCCTGGGCCCTCGGGGTCACGCTGTATGCCATGCTCAGCGGGTCGATGCCCTTCTACAATCGCGACCGGAAGGCCCTCTTCCGGGCCATCGCCCGCGTGGACTATCGCCCGCCCTCGGTGTCTGCCCCGGCGCGGGACCTCATCAGTCGGCTGTTGGTGGCGGCGCCGGAGCAGCGTGCCACCCTGGACGATGTGTGGGCGCATCCCTGGCTCCAGGCTGCCGGCATGGAGGGGGGAGCCTCCCCCGGGTCGGTGGTGGCCGGCCAGGCGCCTCCCCCGGGCTCGCAATATCAACTGCTGTCGTCCATGACCGAGGCCGATCTCCGGCCCCGGAGCCCGAGCGCCTCCTCGCTGTCCAGCTTGTCCTCCTCCAGCACGCGGTCATCCTTCTCCTCGGCGTCTGACAGCTCGCTGGCCCCGGCGAGCGCCGGGGCCCGGACACCGGGCCCCGGGGTCTTGGGCCTGGCCGTCGACGTGTCGGTCACCACGCCGGCGCCCTCCTCGCGCGGCCGGCGCGTCCGTCTGTCCCCGGCGGCCGAGGACGACATCCACGAGGGTGTCAGTGCCATGTCCTTCGTGGACAAGTCCGACGCCTGCAGCATCAGCAGCGTGTCCACCACGGCCAGCAGCAGCACCACCACCAGCGCCAGCGCCAGCGCCAGCGCCAGCGCCAGCGCCACCCCCACCTCCACCACCAGCCGGTCGGCGTCCCTCTTTGCCAGTGTCATCGGCAAGATCCGCACCTCCCGGTCCTCCGGGCGCGCTGAGCGCCAGGCCGCCGCGGCCGCGGCCGCCGCCGAGACCGCCTCCGCCGCCACCTCGCCCCAGGACCACGAGATGGCCCAGTCGCCGGAGGAGGAGCCGCCCGCCCGCGAGCGCCATCGTCCCAGCCGCCGGCCCTCGCTGCAGACCTCCAGCCTGGTGTCGGTCTTTTCGCTGAATCTGTCAAAGTCCTCGCAGAAGACCGGGCCCGGAGCCCAAGGCCTGCGCCGGTCCCTTCTCCACCGGTGGTGGTGGTGGTGGTGGTGGTGATCCCTCGCCGGGTGTCGGCGGCGGGAAGCCCGGCCTGCACGCTGGCCACACTGCGCGCGCCATTCCCCAAACCCCCACCTCGCCGATGCCGCCACTGGCGCCGGTGCCGACGGATCCCGGGTCCCTTGGTGGTGGCGGTGGCGGTGGCGGCCCCAGCGTCGGCGACAACACCGGCAGCGGCCCCGGCGGCGTCAGTGCCACCCCTGCCGCCGGCACCGGCGCCAGCCTGAGCGCCACCGCGGCCTCGGCCCCGGCGCCGCTGTATGCATCGCACTCGCTGCGGCCAGGGCGGCCGTATGGCGGCCCGCGTCCGCTGTCCTCCGACGGCGCCGGGTCGCCGAGGCTCATGGCGGATCCCTTCGGGGGGGTGGCCGGCCCGGTGTCCGGGGTTGTCCGGCGGCTGGTCACCTCTTCCTCCTCCGGGTCCCTGTCCTCGGACTCGTCCACCTGGGTAACCGATGATCGGCAGGCCGAGGCGGCGGAGGACTTGGCTGCGTCGTCCTCCTCGCAAATCAGCAGCGACAGCGCGACGCTCGTTGGCTCCGAGGCAGCGGCGGCGGGGCCCTCCCACCCGGTGGCCGCCTATGATGGCCGCCCTTCGGCGGCGCAGGAGCATGCGGCGGCCATCGCGGCGGCGGCGGCCACCGCGGCCGCGGCCACGGCCGAGGCGTCCAGCCTGTCCGCCGGGGTGGTGTCCAGCGGCCCGCGGCCGCGTCGGCCGGCCTCCTACTCCTTCGGCGGCGGGGCCGGGGCGACGGGTGCCGGGCTCCAGCTGTCGGTCCTGTCCCAGGCGGCCGCCATCAGTCGCACCCCGCCGCCGTACTCCGGCTCCCGGCCGACCACCCCCTCGGCCATGGCGCACTCACTGCCGCAACTGACCCCGCAATATCACCACACCATGCCGCATTTGGCCCAGCCATCGGCCATGATGCATGGCTTCCCGGCGGCCGGCCCGGCGACGGCCACCTCTCCCGCGTCCGACACCTTCCCGGGTCGCGGTGTGGCCGGCCCCAGCACCGCCCCTCAGCAGCCGCAGCCGCAGCAGCCATCGCAAGCGGCGCACCACCTCCGGTACATGCAATCGCAGCCACAGCCGCAGCCCCCCTTGGGATACTACTACTCGCAAACCATGCCGGCTGGCGGCCGGTGGGACAGCATCCCCGGCACAGGGGCCACCCTGTCGGCCGCCCACTCGTTGCCGGCCCTGCCGCTGAATGCCACGATCACCCTTTCCTCGTCGACTTCATCGCTGAGCTCCCTCCCCGGGGGGTCGCAGCCGCAGCAGCCGCCGCCGCCCCAGCCGGTGATCTTTTCGTCCAACTCGGCCGCCGGGCCCGGGGCCGCCGGGCAGTACCGTGCACGCTCGGCCTCCGGCATCGCGGCCTTCTCCGGTGGTGGCGGGTCAGCTCCCGCCGGCCTGCACCATCACTCGGGCCTCAGCCAGCAGGCTCAGTATCACCACCTACAGGCCCAGCAGCAGCAGCCGCAGCAGCAGCAACAGCAGCAGCAACTGGAGGCAGCTCGTTCCTCACAAACCTCGCCGGCCGGCAGCGCCGGGCCGCTGAGCCCCATCCGCAGCAGCAGCGCCGGCGGCGGGGGATGCCCCCCGTCGCCGCTTGGGCCCGGTGCCGGGGTCCTGCCGCCAGCCGGCCGGGCATACCACAATGGCTCGGTCCCCGGTCGCCGGACCGGCGGCTTCGGTGGCAGCACCCTGCCAGCCAGTCGGCCGGTCTCCCTGCACACCCCGCCGATGGCGCACTCGTACCTGTACCAGCAGCATCCATCCCATGCAGCGCCTCCGGGCGGGGGGAACGGCGCCCGGCACACCTTCCCCCCGACCGGCTTCCACACCATCGCCTCCGGGTCGCCGGCCGGGGCCCCGGCCGGGTCACTGGTGATCCCCTCGTCGCCGAGCTCGAAGTCCGCGTCGCCCGGGCCGGCCAGCGGCCCGCTGGCCCTGCCGGCATCCTTGCCCTCCGCCGCCGGGGCGACCCCGGCCGGGCCGGCCCACCGGCCGAGCGCCTCGCTGCCCATTCCGGCGGACATTCTCATGGCCCTGGCCGACGATCGGCCGGGCTTCCCGGCCGGCCTCGACGACGCCGGGCCCATCCCCCCGAAGGTGTCACTGTCGGCCGGGCAGGTTGTGGCCCCCTTCGCCGAGGTCGGCAGCGGGCACCACCAGCACCAGCACCAGCACCACCACCACCACCACCACCAGCAGCAGCAGCAGCAGCAGCAGCAGCTCCACCACCAGCACCACCAGCACCAGCACCACCACCAGCACCACCACTACTCAACCTCCCCGGCCGGTGGCGGGGCGGCGCCCTTCCTGCCAGCCCCGCTGTCGGCGTCCGACTCGTCCCTCAATCTGGGGGCCATCGGCGGTGCGCCGAGCGGCGGGGGCGGCGCCTTTCCCCTGGCACGGCCGGCGGCCTCGGTGACCAGCGGCCTGGCTGGCTGCGCCATCACCCCCTTCCACCGGGTCCCCACCAACCCGGTGTTCACGGTGGTCGGTCAGCCCCATCCGTTGCTCCTGCTCCAGCGTCTGTCGGAGCTCCTCCGGCAGCGGGGTGTGCTGGTGGAGCCGCTGCCAGCCCCGCCGGCCGGCGCCTGGCGCCGAGCCCTCGTGGCCGGGGTGGTCGACGCCGGCCCCGACGCCGAGGTCAGCCCGGGGGGCGTGGCGGCCATCGATGCGGCAGCGGCGGAGGCCGCCGCCGCCGGCCCGGGCACCGCCACCGCCACCGCCACCTCCTTGCCCCCTGCAGCCCTGATGGAGAGCGCATCCTCCTACCACATCCACCGGCTGCAGTGCATGGTCCCGCTGGCGGCCAGTGCGGGCCTCGGCGCTGGCCAGCTCCAGTTCGACCTGGACCTGGTGTCGCTGCAGCCTCTGGACCGCGCGCTCTGGGTCCAGTCCCTCCCGGCTCAGGGGACCCTCTTTGTGAACATGCGCCTGCCAGATGCCCAGTCGCTGAATGTCATGGCTCTGGGCCCGGAGCCGCTCAACACCTACGAAGACCTGTCCGAGCGCATCCGCGCCTTCCTCCTGAGCGCCAGCCACTCGGAGGGCGACGCCGCGACCGTGGCCCAGCTGTTCGGCAACACCGGCGCCCCTGCGGCGCCGGTGTAGCGCCTCTCTCCCCCCCCCCCCCCATGTCCCTCCTCTCCCCTTGTCCTTGTCCTTGTTTCTTGTTTGTGCCCCTGTCTATCTCCCTGCTTCTCCCCCTCCCGCTCCCTCTCTTCCTCCCTCTTCGTATGGTCCGAGGGCACAAAATGGTGCCCAGAAGGAGAGGTACATTCCCCCTCCCCCCGTGCCCCTCTGCTGCTCCCCAGAGCCGGGGGAGGGGCACACGTAATGCCCCGGAGAGAGAAAGAGCGAGAGAGAGAGAGAGAGAGCGACGCGAAGACGAAGGCGCGCCAGGCCGCGCGCAAACAATATATGTACCATTATCCCTCCAACTGCCAACGATCTCATCGCCATGTGGACGCATCTGTGCCGCCCCGGCCGCCCCCAGCGGTCCGGGAGCGAAGCCGGGCGCGGGGGACAGGCGGGCCACTGCCCGCCGCTCTTCGCCCGGTGGGGCCACACGCACGCCTTCGGCGCCGTC